TGGATTGCATTTAATTTGTTAGGTTAATGTTAATAAGAGCAATTCATAATAATGAAGTATGTGCTAGGGTGTCTAAATTGATAGAATAGGTTAATGTTATATGCGGATATAATATATATCTACGCTATATAAGTTTATATGAGATTGAAACTTCAACAGTTAAAGATTATATCCRGATATATTTTATATCTATTATTAAATACCAAATTGCAAGATTAAAAAAAAAAACTAAAGGAATACTTCTATATTATATCCGGATAACATCAAGTAGCAAAAAACTTATTCTCACAAAAAAAAAAAATCTAAAGAAATTGTTCTATATTTTACAATCACCAACCAAAGGAAATCATGTGGAAGAATCTTCTTCTCACAAAAAAAATTTCGAGCAGCAACTATATAGAAGGTTTTGAGCAGCAGTAAATAGTGAAAAAAAGAAAAACGTGAGCAGAGCAATATTTTTACAAATGTGGGAAGAAATTGATGTTGGAAGATCGTGGGAAGAAATGAAGGACCGAAAATCGTGGGTATATTTCAAACTATTTTGAATTTGAAATTATGGGTAAATCTATGCATTAATTAATTTAGAAATTGAAATCATCATAATCTTTTTTAATTAATATAGGCTTTCCGTGTACTAATCTTGAATGAGTGAATCAAGAGATTAAGGTTAAAATTGATATGGGCCCACAATAATTAAATGATTATGTATACAATTCAGGGATTTAAATATTTTAGATTGCAACAAAAAAATTTAACAATAATAAATATAAATGCAATAAATAAGGGTAAAATCGGTATTATAAAAAATCCTACATGCAGAAATCTGAGAGTGTAAAATTAAAAAATTTGAGACATTTGTGTAAATAAGTTTCTAAAACAGCCCTCCGAAGACATTATCTCCAATTTTTCCTTTACCCCAATCATTAAAGGTCTATAGATTATATCATCTATCAATTCGAGCATATTTCAATTAATTAAGAGAAAAAATAACACACGAATTGTATTCGAGCTACCAATCGATGTTCTTAGAAGCAAGGAGTACGCCGCATGTTTCAACAAGAACACTGAAATAATCAAATTCAGCTCTGCACAAGATAGCCAAAATATGGTTGAACAATCAAATGATACATTTCTCACATTCAAAGTAAAGGTCTTAAAAATTTGTAGGAACATCCTCTCAGTCAAAAGGTCGAAGGTTTGAGTCTTCCTCCGCACATGTTATTGAACATATATGTATATAAGCTACCTTTTTCTTTCCCACGTTGATGAAGCATCATCATTTTCGTTTATTCAAGATACCACTTTTAAAAAAATGAAAAATTAAATTTTCTTCTCTACTTTTGTTGTTCAACACAATTAAAAGTGTATATGTTCTCCTTTTAGTTAGATTTCATGTTAATAATATAAAGTTTATTGGATATGCATTTTTTCATAGTATATTTTGTAATTATTTAACTCCAAAAGTCAGCTCTAAAAATTTATGAATTTTTTTACCAACCCTGTGGTTTTATTTTGCATATTTAAATACTATTTATTTATCCAGCTTATATCAACTCCAAAACAAGTGAGACATATACCATGTTATGGATGACGTTACAATAACATAAACATGAATCTTACTTTTAAGAGTCATAGATGAAATATTCGACTTTATTATATCTCAAAGAAAATAAAAAAGATGCTTTTCGATTTAAAACAAACAAATCCAAAAAGATTCATGAATATATCAACTACCATTTACAGCTGGTTAGAAAAAAGCGAGATTCATTTTCTTAGTTATGAAGTCCTCTATAAGTATCAATATGAAGAAATCAAAAGGAAAAGAATTTGAGTTCAATAGTTGAAAAGGTAGACATATAATCATCTTTTGAGGTAAGCTATATATCTTTTTACGGATTATAATCTTATATTGTCCAAAACAAAAATTAAATCCAATTATTAATTATATTACTTTAGAAAAAGCCAGAGCACAGCTCAGTAGATTAAGGCTCATGTATCCAACTATGAGATTGAGAGTTCAAATCCCACCCTCACATATTGTACTAAAAATATGTACATAACTTTAGAAAGAAGAAAAAGTTAATAATGAACGTACTTACCATCAATAATATTTTAGTGTTATACCCTTAATCGATAGCGAAGTTTCTTCTTGTAGAAAGATATTTAAACAAGATGATAAATATTTGAAAGATATAATAGAAAAGAAAAGGAATCTCCGCCAGATTCAAAGGAAGCATTCGATAAGAAAGCTTAGGGGAGGGACCAAAAAAATATATCAAACTTAAGAGGCCAATAGTTGTACAATTTGATTTTTCTTTCTTTCTTTATTTATTTATTTGGTAAAAAAAAACTAAGATTCTAATTTTCCCAAGTGGAGATTGAGTCATCACTAGAGAGTTTTGAAACAAACCTAACTATTCCTCACAATGGGTTCTCATGAATCCTCCAAGAAGGTGTGAAACTCTTACAACATTATCTTTCATCTCCATACCATATATTTTATATTCCATTCTTCTTTTTACTCATGTTTATCAAATGTTTGATCTAGAATATATTCAATTAAATGTTTTTAAAAGTTATTCTCTCATTTTCTCATCTTTTTTCCCAAACAAAAATAAATAAATGAAGTTCCTCGTTCCTCGTTCCTTCTTCCACCATCACAAATAACATTAGATACACACAATAATCTAAATTAAAATAGTCTCTTAAACTAGACTTTTATTTCCCATATATGAAGCACATATTTGTTTAGTACAATAAATTTGTAGATGAAGAATTGAACCTTTGACCTATAGAAAAATAGCAGGATAATTTAATACATAAAGCGCATGCTAGTAGCCTTAAAATGTATTTATTAATTAATTTCAAATAATAAGTTGTGGGTATCATTGATTATATAGTATATTTTTTTTCAATGGCTTGTTCATGTGAACAATTAAAATATTAATTAGAGATGTAAAATACATATGGTATTTTCTTTGCCTCCAAGGCACCAATAGCAAGAACAAGAACCTCCTTTTGTTGACCAGACAACCCATATGGCCACATGAACTTTCTACTCTTAGCACATCTTATCCATAAAATAATAAATCCATATAATTCAACCTATAATACACTAAATCATATTTTTAATTGCTACAAATTCTTTCGTTGTAGTTTTTAGGTTTATTAGATCTAAATTTCACATAAAAATTATTTCTATTTATCATTATTTTTCTAATAAATTATCTTACAGTGGTTCGATTGAAGTAGATGATCAAAACTGATTTTTTTATATAAAGTTGAGAGACTAAATCTAAAACAAAGTATATTAGAATTTAAATACTAGAACTCAGCTAATTTTTGTAAATAAAACTATGAAGGCATTTAAACTCAAGTCAAAGTCAAAATTAGGGTACAAATGTATTTTCTATTAACATTAGCGGTAAAATAGCTTTTCTTTTCCTCCAAAAAAAAACATTTTTTTCCTGGAAATGGGAATATTTCCGTATGACAGTGACATATATTTATGAAAACAATTTAATATTAAAAAAAATGGGGGTGTGCAATAGCAATTATTAATAAATTATTATGGAGATAAAAGTCCAATAGTTTAATGAAAAATGTGGATGAATTGTATCATTCCACAAAAGGAAAGCCCCACCTCGAAAGGCACCATCTTTTGCTATTTAATTATTTAATTTTAATACTATTTTCATCCGTCTAGTTTTAACTTTAATTTATTATTATTTTTTAATTTTTATTCATTAGACATTTATTTTGACTTTTATATTTAAGAAAACCATCAATTTAATATTTATCTATAAAATTTTAACTATTTTATATATGATAGAAACTTTTTAATACAAGATATTACTATATCTCAAGGAATTTAAAGAATAAAAATATAATATTAAAGTTGTGATTGAAAATAAAAGACAAAAAAAAAATAAATGAAGGATCATTTTTAAAAGTATAGGAATAAACATTAAACTTTTAAATATATAGGACTAAAATAAATAAAAAATAAAGGAGACCAAAATTAGTAGTGAAGCTTAATTATTGCAATAGTAAGCATCTTTTGCACCTGTGTTCTTTCTAAATCTGTGGGGAAAATATTTCTTTATTAACTTTTTTTTCACACTGCCAATACTGTGGAAGTTTGTCTGCTTGGCCTGCAAACTGTGGTTTGGTTCTAACTTCTAGGAGTTTTTCTTTTAATTCCCTTTGAAATTTTGTTTGCTTTTATAATTTTCAACAATGCCATAATTCTTCCGAGCCAAAAGAATATATATATATATATATTGAATTATGTTTAGGTTCAGTATAATTATAAACAAAATCAACTTTATTATAGATTATTAAAGAAGAGATTGACACAATATATCTATTAGATAAAATTTAATTTTAACTAAATCAATTTTACATAACAATTAACTAACTAAATATTAGTGACCTCTCTTCACAATTATATTTTTAAATCTCTATTTAACAAAATTAATAGAGTAGATAATTAAAGAGACTAGCAAAAATATCTTATCTATAAATATATATATGGTCAGAGATAGGTGCCTTAACCATTTGAGCTATGCTCGGTTTGACTATAAATATTTTATTATTAATAAAACAAAAATGTAATTAAAAGTGTAAGATGTAATTTATCATAAAGTTCCATTAGAAAATAATTGAATGTATAAGATGTTTATTATCTCTGAAACTATTTAATCTCTTTAACATCAAACAAAAAAATAAATAATAATAAAATAAATAAAAAAACTCAAAATTCAAATCATAAGGATTACCCTTTGAAGTCCATTCGAGTAATTGACCAGGCGGATAAGTATAAAGGCAATAGAGAAATCTGTTATCCAGGAGGGCGTAGAGGTAATTCCGCAAAAGAAACAGGGACCGGTAGCTAGATGGGTTACGGAATACGGAGGAGTTACCGCCTTTAGTGCAGGCTTTGAAAAATATTTAAACTATATATAAAAAAAAAAAAAAAAGGTAATAATAAAATCAAATGGATTCGAAGAAAACTAATAGCGCACCGCCCATCAGAATCCCCATAAACCGTCCAACTCCTCCTTCCACCTCAAAAAATCCTGCAACTCTCGATTTCCTCTTCCTCTCCCTCTTCTCCAAGTAATTCACCCCTTCTTATTTCTTAATCTTCTTCCTCTTCTTATGAACTCATTCAATTTCTTCTTCTTCTTCTCTTCCTCTTCCTCTCATATCCCCTTTTCAATTAACTAACTTCTTGTTTCGTGTCCGTTTTCTTTCTTGACCCCTAAGTTTGATTTTCTTCACCGACTTCCGATTGGCGGCGATGGGTTTCTTTTCTTCTCCCAGAAGACTACTGGGTTCTATTTATTTTTCTGTTTATTCCCCTCCTCTTCCATAATTTTTCTCTTCTTTCTGTTCTTCCTCCGGAGTTTTTTTTGTAGCTTGTGTCGTATATAAACTTCTTTTCGCGATTGAAACCATCATTCTTCGCTTTACGATCGTTTTTAAGCCCGATTTCGGATGTGTCTGTTTTAAATATCTGGGTCTCTGTTATTTCGTTTCCCTACTGCTCTGTTTTAGTAGTTTAGATTTTTAATCGATGGAGAACGATCAGGATCAATGTCGGTTACAGTTTCGTCAATATGGAAGCAATCATCGCCATCTGAATGGAGTTGAGGGTTTGGATTCCAAGACTTCGGGAAACCGTGAATCCGCCGACCGATTCTCCGATGCCGGAGATTCGACCGGCCCCGATCAGGACTCGATGGTTTCGGACTCTGAGAGCGGAATCTCAGGGCCCAGTATGGAGCAATTGGAATGGCTCAACGAAGGGTTAGTGAAACTTGTTGAAGAAGACAAAATCCACGACCTGATCAAGAGAAGATTCGTTTCTAGTTTGGGATTACTCGGTCCGCAAACCACGGTCACGGCCGTTTACAAAAATAGTCATTCTACCCATATTGGGCAAGCTCGTCTGCACACGTTTCAGATTTACTCGCAAGCAATCGAGAAGAAAAATGGAGGTAATGCCAATGTGAAATACGCTTGGTTGGGGGCTTCGAAGAATCAAATAAACAAAATTCTGGGCTATGGTTTCGCCCATTGCAATAAGCCCGAGGACTCGCAGTTTCTTGGCTGTGGCATTTATCTCTCGCCAGATAATCTGCCTCTAGAAAGGTCAGCCATAACCCCCATTTCAGTTTTTTTCCCCCTTCTGATCATGAGTTTTCAGTCCCCTTTTTATTGATTCTTCTAATTTTTTTCAGTCTGGAAGACTCTGTTGTTGATGAAGATGGGTTAAGACATCTAGTGCTTTGCCGCGTTATATTGGGAAAATCAGAGTGTGTTCATCCTGGTTCTAGACAGAGCCATCCGAGTTCTGAAGCCTTCGATTCTGGCGTGGACAATCTCTTTGCACCAAAGAAATACATAGTTTGGAGCACTCACATGAACACCCACATCCTGCCTGAGTATTTAATCAGTTTCAGAGTTCCTCCTCGCTTCAAAGGTCAGTAATCACCTCGGAACTTGCTTTCTGCAATTTGGGGTGTCAAGGAAAATGGATGGTTTAATGCTAATTTTAGTGGCGTTTTCAATTATTTAGGTATTTTTAAGACTAAACAGCCTTCGAGGATGCCAACCTCACCTTGGATGCCATTTCCAACTCTAATCTCTGTTCTCTCAAGGTTTCTTCCTGCCCCTGAAATTGCCATGATTACCAAGTATCACAAAGACCACAGGGTGAGTAAAGATTTGATCCCTTATGTTTGTTTCTGTAGGAAGTTTCGCTTCCCGGTTTGAAAATAACTTGTATTGGCTATGGTGATCTCATTTTGTTCAGCTTCTGAATTCTAGGACAATAAGATTTCGAGGCATGAGCTGATAAAGCGAGTGAGGCAGATAGCGGGGGACAAACTGTTGATCCATGTTATCAAATCATTCAGGGCACAGGTATTCACCTCTTCCTTTTCCTTGCTTTTTTTGCTTTGGAATTTTTGGATGTGGCCATGGAATATGAAATGAAGGGTGGGATTAAGTTCTGTGCCAAATGTAAATGGTTATTACTTATTAGCCTAGGCATCAGCTGAAGAGCTCCTTTTGACTTGGTGTCATAATGTTCTCTCAAATAAAGAGAGACAAATTGTTATTATTATGCAATTTAAACGCTTGTTCCCTTTCAAGTCCTAATAGAATAAGGCTGGCCTATAACTTTTGTATGCTTACCTGCTAAGCTATGTAGAATCTTCTTTACTTTTGCTTGTAGAAAGTCTTCATCAATCACTTCTCCTTGGCATATATGTTAATAATTCCTTACTTTTTTGGCCTTAAAGTTATCTATTTTTCTTTATGTTTGGAATCACAAGTTTAGTCTATTTTTTTAAACTTTTAAGTTCATGTCTAATAAGTCTCTAAATTAGTTTGAAGGTGTCTTAATAGGTCTTTTGACTTTCAATTTTGTTAAAATTCACGGACCTATCAGATGCTTAATTGAAAGGTTAAAGTTCTATTAGATATTTTTTAAAGTTCAAAAACTCATTAGACACGAATTAAATTTGTAACTAACCTTTTTTTTGGGATTTCGTCTATGGGTTAGAAAGCCCCATATGAAAGTTCTTTGTTTAATTAAAATTGGAATCATGAAAAGCCTTAAGCCGATCAAATAGCCATTTTTATGTGTGCAGCAAAGCAATGGAGATGTTGGATTTGAAGAGAAGGGAAGGAGAAATGGGGCAAAAAGTGGACAGAAACCAGCAGCAGGGAGTGTAGATTCACCAATTTTGTTAGAGTAGTTGGGTTGGAAGTCTGCAGTTTCTTTGTGTAATGCAACAAGTGGGAGAGAGAATTCGAGTGTCGAGTTGAAGCGGAACAATCAGTGGCTAATCAAAACATGTAATCGTCTCCATACTGTACAGCATAGTCTTGCAAATGTGAAGTTGTAGCATCATCAGCCAAATGTTACTGTTACTGCTTCTTGAAAGAATAAGAAAATGACCCTTCTTAGTTTCTTGAGGATTTTCCCACTTTTCCTTCTTAATTTTAGATGTGTGAACAAGGAGATAAGAGCAGACTTCCCACAAACTTGACCTCAGCCGATTGCAATGTAATAGAGAATTTGTTCTGTTCATAGTTTGTATGTATAGCGTTAAGAGATGAAGAAATCTAAGTTTCATGTTACAGTAGATTGTTTCTTAATTGTGGGTTCATCAGTAGCTGATACCCGCAACGCCCACTGCAAGCACACCTTACACTACCATGCGCGTGCACGCTCTACCTCTCTGTCTCTCATTGCTATCGCTCATCTGGTTAAAATGTCGACTTCGGTGGCAATGTTGAGCTCTCAACTTTGAAGGATTTTCTAGAGAAAGTTATAGAAGTTTTTAAGAACTAAAAGAATATTTTAAATTTACTAAATAGAAAGATACAATGGTTGAGTAAATATAAATGATCTTTTTTCTAAAATTGGATATTATTGTGTTGGTATTTTTTTTACTTCTTTGCTATTGCTGGAAGCTTCAGACAACAACACCCTCTGTTAAATATTTAGTTCACAAATTATTTCAATTTTGAAATTTGATAGAAGATTGGATCACCATTATTTATTATTGATATATTTTTTTTGGCAAAATATACTAAACAATTTAGGTAATTTTCAATCTTATTCCTAATATATTAAGAATTCTCTCAATTAGGTTCAAAAAACAATTGTTAAATAATTTGTTAACAAAATAATTTGATGGATAATTAAATTATAGGTTTATTAATGTATTTGAATACTAACTTTCTCGTTCTCTCATTTTCAGTTTTATGGAGAAATCTAAGCATTTAGCAACTATTTATGTTTCTTATTTCTCATTTTCTAGGAAACAAGAAACAAAAAAAAATACAAACATCACCAAACATACTCTTACATGCTATTTAATACATGAAATCCAATTTACTTATTAACAAGCTCGTCAATGAAATAGTGGCATGACCACATGTACAAATTATGATAATGATTCAAGCATCTTGCTTGGAAAAAACCGTTGCAAGGGCGTATTAGTTTTTATGAACAATTTTCAACAAATGAGAGTAGAGATTTGAACTCTACAAAAAATAAGGTTTTTCCCAAAGCTTCAAAATGTTAGGAAAAACATTAAAAACGTCGGGAGTAACTTCTTCTCGAAAAAGAATAGATATGTTTAATCGTTGAGTTACGCTCGATGTTGGTACAAAATATTATTATAGTAGATAGATGTTAGGATGGATAAGGAATTGAATTAATCCAAGTGGAAATGATACCCCCATTAGACAAAGGTGAATGCCATTGTGACACCCCCACACATGCCATTGTCTCATTCTCAATGCGCTGTGCTGTGCTTGTCCTTCATTTGTTTCCTCAACCCCATTGGATTTCCACATCAAAATCTTCCCATTTCTCTCCTCCATATTTATAACTTCGCTTCACTCTCCACACCATTCAAAAATATGATTGTATATTCACTGTTTTTGTACCATTTTTTTCAAAAAAGACAATCATTTCTAGATAGCATATGCCTTATATTATGATTATATATAATTATTTCTTTTTTAAATGTGTATTTTCCAAGTGGGTTGGATGCCAAGTGGGCAGGGGATGAAATGACAAGTGAAAAGATTCAAATTTTGGCTTAAATATGCAATTCAAAGGGCCTGTATGAAAGTTTGGGAAGTGGCCTAATTATGCAAGTTTTTTAAGGACACCAAAATCCTTTATTTGAAGTGTTGAAGGTTGGTCCAATTTTCAACAGAACTTTTTATGAGTTGACTTGAATTAACAACATAACCAAACAACTTGTCTCTTGGACAATGTTTTATGTTCTAACACTCATGTTCCTTCGTCTTTCCATATACCAATTGTGTAAGCAATTTATAACGACTATACTTTTGTCTTGTAAAGATCGAAATTAAAGTTATGTTACTAGTTTAGTTACTAAACTTTTCAAGAGGGTATCTAGCAAGTTCTTCAAATTTCAGTGTTAGGTTTGTTAAGTCCATGAACTTTAAAAGGTATTTAGTAATTAAGTCTCGATTTTAAATTTTGTAAATTTATTAGACATTTTTTGAAACTCAAGAACCTATTCGATACATAATAGAAAGGTTAGGGACCAATGAGATACAAAATTGAATTGTGTGTATTACAGGTTCGTGAACTTTAAAAAAATGTTTAATAATAAATTAAGGATATGTTAAACATAAAATCAAAAGTCTAAAGACCTAATACTAGATACTTTTATTAGATATATATAACATTAAAATTGAATTTATTAGATATTTTTTTAAAGTCTAAGGATTTATTAGATATTGCTCTGAAAGTTCAAGTACCGAACTTGTAATTTAACCTTAAAATTATTATATGTTGTTTAAACAATTTTACCTACGGTTACTCGATCAGATCGACATATGTTTACTGCAAGTTTTGTTTTGAAAAAAAGGAGAAAAGAAAGTTTTATACTCAAACTTCTTATAAGTTTTAAAGTCTCTTGAGAGACCGTATTTAAAAAAATATATATATAAATTCGAATTTCCATCACACATGTTGTCATGTTAAGAAAATATATCTTGCGACTATTCTCAAGGCAAACTCTATATTAATTTTTGTTAAATAATGCGACAAATGGATCATTATTCCATGAAAACCTCCCTACTTCTTTCTTTTAATTTTTTTAAAACTTGTTTCGATCCTATTAAATATATATATTTTTTCTTCTTAATAGCCTATTAGGATGAATTAGATTATGAAGATGCTAAAATTGTACTATTAACATTAGTTGGATTATTTATTTATTTATTTATTTTGGTGCACCTACTTATCATTATCACCAATAATTAATACAATAGAAAAACGTTGTTTTAATTAAATAAATAATGATATTATGAACACTAAAAGACTTTCTCACCCTCATTCATACCGTAGTAGTACTCACTTGAAAATAAAATTATATATTATATCAATAAATTCGAAGACTTTATGGTGATTAAGAAGCATTCACAATTGTAAATTTTGGGAAGATTTCAAATGGAAAAGGCATGTTGGATTATTATTATTATTATATATATATTTTTTATTTTGGCATGTTAGGTAATTAATTTACTCATGTAGAATTATTATTACCCTTAAATCAACTAAGGAATGCAGGAATGATGAATTATGAGTACCAAAGCCAAATAAGTTTGCTTTCAAAATAATGACCAAAAAAAAAAATAATAATAACATTACTTGTAGCCGTAATGATAGTTCATCAAAAAAAACTTATGAATAAAGATTTCGTCCAATTTTTGTTTTTTAATATTTGGGATTAGATTCATAAAGTGACAATCAAAAGCGTGACAACAACTCAACCTCGAGATAAATTTAAAAATATATATATTCTAAAGTTGCTTCAATAATTAATTGAAAAAAAAAAAAGCTTTGGTTTGGGCATGGTTGAGATATATTATTCTTGAAATCATTGGCTAAAAATATTCGCTAAAATTGTCCGTTGTAATGTAATATATCATATATGGCTTCTTCCCTTTTGTTTTCTTTCTTTCTTTTTTGGGTGCTCCTAAAGTCACCGACATTGATCTTTGATTCCTTTCCATACATATTAAATTTTTTTTCTAATTAATCATATTTTTAAACTCCCATCAATTTCCTATAGGAGTTTTATTAATATTATTTTTTTAATGATGATTTAAATAAATGTGACTAACAAAAGGTGAAAGTTAAAGAGTAGAATAATTCTAAGTTCTGATTTAAATTTTGTTTAAATTATTATTCTAGTTTTTGTATGGGTTGGTATGATTTTAAAAGTTTAAATTTCTTCTTATGATTTAGGGTAAGTTCAATTTATTTTTTTAGTATAACCAATATGGATTAGATGGGGAATTGAACCCTTCCCCAAATAATATGCCTTAATCGATGAGCTATACAATTGTTCATGTTAGCAACCAAAATGTTAGTTTCAAAATGATATTTATAGTTCTAAAAGGTTTCGATTCAACTAAATCTCACAAATCGTCAATAACCCAATTTTTATCCACCTTTTTTTTGTTAATTTTTTTTACCTAGTTTTTACTTGTGTGATGCAATCCGAAATAAAAAATAATGTTCATTCTTTTGTGAATAGAAAACGTTAGTAAGTAATAATTTGAATGATTTGTGAGATTCGACCAAATTATAAGGATCAAATTGAAAATCTAAAACCGAAAGGAAACTAAATTAAAAATAAAGACAAAAAATATTAGTAATTTAACCTAAATTCTATGGGGGATTAAGTTGATTTGGGCATATTTTACTTCCTTCACACATTATGAGAAAGCAAAAGGAGAGAAAGAAAGAAAGAAATCACTTTGTTTTTTTTGTTTTTGCCATTTTACTGTTGTGACTTGTGGAGAATATTAAGGGGGGAATAAATTGTGAAGTCATTTTCACTAAACGACGTAGTAGCATAGCAGATTAGGGAAGGCGACGCGATACGGTTACACATACGCGTGGGATGTACATACATTTTCTGACGCTCTGGACTTTACACGTGTCAGTTAGTGAATGGAGGACGGTGATATAATACCTCACCTCCCATGTCACTTTAACCCAACTGGCGGCACACGGAGCCCTCCTGTTTTTCCAAATTTAACAACCCAAAAGCCAAAAGGTTCTATTGATATTGAAATCTGCTCGTAATTCACCATTCTCTCGAGTATGAACCATAAAAGAGCGTAAATCCAACTCTTAACTTAATTTATAAGATACCCATTATTATTCTAAATATCCATAGCTCGATTCCACCTCATAATTTTTGAATTAAAAGAATGAAAAAACGAAAAAATGGCGAATATGAAATTTCAATTGAAAATAAATGACTAAAAGTGCATTAGTGATAATACATATATTAAAATTGACGTTTTTGAGGGTATATATATTAAAACGAACAAAACTTGAAAATATAGAGACTGAAACAAAACAGTATTATTTAGTGTCGGGAGAGGAGATTTTTTTTTTTTTCCAATTTTCTATCTTATTGTCAAAATTTGACCATGATTGAATTATGTGCGGTAGATCCACTAAAAGAAAAAAGAAAAGATGTCATACGCAGCATAATTCAACATGTCAATATATCACTTATTTTCCTAAACGTTAATGTTTGAATGTCTACCATTATTGTACTAAAAAATAGAATGGTAACGGAAAAGAATTGTGAAATGAATCTAGTGATCCTTATTACTTTTTATGACATCATTAGATTGAATCTCTATTGAGGTAAGATGTAATATTTAAAAATTAAATCTATGAAATTTATGTTTGATTTGTCAAAAATTTTAGGCATAACTTGAGTACTACTTGAGGAGGAGTGAATGTAATTTCATTATTTTGAAAATAGCCACATAATTTAATAAACAAATATCTATTGCTACAAAAACAAACGAATGAAACAATAAGATTATTTCAAAATAAATTACATATAAAATAATTTTAACTTAAAACATACGAATCAGACAGTGGTTAAATAAATAATAAATTATTCCAAAATTCCATTTTCCCTAATCCCCTATACGGATTTAAATATAAACCATACAAAATAATCCACCCAACACGTACGAACTCTATCTATCCTCCACGTGTACAGACGGCACGTGTTGCGTGTCTCGGAGGTAAAGAACTTAAAAAGGCTCTATTATTTATTTTAAATACAAAAATAATTAATAAAGTTACACGAGTTTTTGTTTCGATTTTAATTTTTTAAAAATATTTTTAGAGAGATTCTGGAACGCTCCGTTTTAGTGGCGCGTAGTTGTCAGAAGAAAACTCAAAAGCGAGGGGAAATTATCGGAACAAAATTTCCCAAAGGGCCTGCCATTATATCATTCTCAACTAGTCAGAGGGGCCACATTTTCGTCATTTCCCCTCTCTCTCTCTCTCTCTCTCTCTCCTTCTTCTTCTTCTTCTCCCTGTGAAAATATGGAAGTTGCAGAGAATTAGGGAGGAAATTGAGGAAGCTCAGGGGCTAATAATGATGCAAGGTGGTGAAGGACCGCTACTTCTTTCCCTCTCTCCAAGCTTTAGCAGCTACTCCTCCGGCAGATTTGCTGAAATTGCCGCCCGTGTCGTTGAGGAATTCCGGAAAGAATCCGATTCTGATCCCGATATTTTCGACTGGAAAACTGATGCTTCTTCGCTCCAACACGGAGGCGAACCGGAAGAATTCAACCTAGCAGCTCACCAGGATGGTAATGGTGGAACTGAGACTGTTGTTGGTGAAGTCGGAGACAACGATGAGTTCGAATTCGCTGTCGTTCCGAGGGAGCCGCAGGCGATGACGACCTCGGCTGAGGATATCTTCTACAACGGCCAGATTAGACCGATTTATCCGGTTTTCAACACGAATCTGTTGTTGAACGGTTCTCTTACAGATAAGAGTAAAAACGTTGGCGGCAACGAAGACTTGAAGAAATCCAAGGCGACGAGAGTTCATCGTCCGTCGCTGGGGAAACTGATGAGCGAAGAGCGTGAGTCGAATTCTTGCTCGTCGTCTGAGGCCGACGAGCTTGACGGAGTTATTCCTGGAACGTACTGCGTCTGGTCGCCGAAGGAATCGCTCGAGAGATGCAAAAAGAGCAATTCGATGGGCTCGTCGAAGAGATGGAAGCTCCGAGACCTCTTATACAGAAGCAATAGCGACGGAAAGGACACGTTCGTGTTTTTAGCACCAAACAAGAGAGTTGAGAAAGTCGCCGAGGTCTCAAAGGGAAAAGGTAGTAGCGGTACCGGTGACGAAAAGACCGCCGGAAAAGTAAAGCCGAGCAGAGTCGCCGCTGCAACGGCTGCTAATGGCGCGACGGAGGGAGCGGATACGAGGAGTCAATCGGTTCCGTATACACAGGAAACGGTGGATTTATTCGCCGAGGTCAATGGTATGAACAAAAACTCACATCTATTTTGAACATTATTAGGGTTTGAACTTTGAAATAAGATTGATTTGGGGGAAGAAGAGTTTGAAGAAAARAAAACCTAATCTGGAAAATTAATTAATGAGTTTTTATCAGGATCAATTCCGTGTTATTGTGAGAAAATTATCTTTGATTTGGAATAATTAATTGTAAAACGTCAATCATCTACCATGTAGGAATAGCCCATCTTGTGTGTGAATGGTTGGGAATGAGTTGTAATGTATTGTACATTTATTTCCTTTTCATATATATATATATATATATATATTTATATATAACAGAATATGAAATTGTTTAATTTTGACCTTTGTTTTTGGGTCAAAAGCTTAAGAAATATGTGACAAAAATATAAAAGGCAACGAAACGGTGGCAAAACCTTGTGCTGTTGCTGTTGCTCGTCTTCATTGGTTTAATATTCTTTGGAAATATGTGCAAATTATCCAAAAGGGAGATGCCATGGCCATGGCTTCCTCTGCAAACAAACAAAGGTATCTACCTGGATTTATTTATTTTTATCATTATTATTATTATTATTATTATTATTATTATTATTATTATTATTTTGATGTAGGGAATTTTGTATTTTGTGAACCAAAAGAAAAAACATACAAATTGCTGAAAATTGGTTTTTATATGATTTGAGTTTTGATACTTAGAAAGGGGAAAAATTAGTGCTATCACATATTCACATGAAAGCACTGAGAAAATGACATCTTGGTACTGCATTTCCTTGAACTTTTTGTTATTATTATTTATTAAAAGAAAAAACAAAGCATTTCCTTCAACTTTACAATTTGTTCTCCACTCCACCCTTTTTTTTTTCCCTTGTTGGTTAACCGAACATCCACCCACCACAGGGGTCTTTTGGGTAATTTTTGCATTATAGTCTTTCTTTCATTCATTTTAATTATTTTTTCTCCTCTTTACAAACTTAACTTTTAAGTTTAATTTTACTAAATTAAAGCTTAAACTTTCAAGTTATCAAGATAACTACTCTATTTGATTTTTTTTTGTGTGTGTATTTTTCAGTGTTTTTACTCGCTGGGGTTTTAGGTAAGGTTTGGATATTTCTAAGATTGAGTTTAGAATTTGGTTGAATTCGTTTTCTTTCTTTCTCTTTTTTTTTTCTTTTTGTTAATTGGTTTATGGGCAACTGTTTTTTTTTAATAACTCGGGAAATGATGTTTGGTGGCTTCGTCAGTCCGATCCCTATAACCAGGGGTGTTGATGGTCACCCAACACTATAACCGACGTTGTAGGACTCGTTCTCAAATTAGGGGAGATCTCAATTACGCGTATCACGGAGCTCGAATCGGGGAGGGAGTATCTCCATTTAACCACGAATCCACTACGTCACCCCAAATGGAATCCACTACGTCACCCCATTAAGGATTAAGGGTGTTTATGGGCAAGTTTTTAATTTGATTTTAAGGGGGAAAAATCAATGAACTACTTATTTAAATTGAGATTCAAATGTCATTCACATCAAACCCCCTTTAAATAAGTCAAGGTTTAAATTGAAAGGCTTTTTGTCTTTATTCTTTGATATGCGGTTTTTTTTTATTATTCTTTAAGTTTAGATATGCTTTGGACCATACAAGTTTATTTTAGTAATTTTTTAAAATATTTCTTTAGAGAGATTGATAATATTCTTTGAGTAAAGATGTTTTAAAAGTTGTGTTAAGTTTGAAAGTAGAACAATTTTGGTTCATATAAAGTCGTTGCTTTGAAGTTTAAACTATGGAATAATATCTTATGGTCTTTTGAAATAAAAAATAACAATAATTGTAAAAATTTATACTCAGTGAGATAAAAATCAAGACAGTGTGTATCAAATCAAGAAATAAGAAATAATATTATCATCGAATGAGATCTTTAGTTTATAATGAGGAAAAAAAGGGAGGGAAAATTATTTACGTTGATTTGTAAAATGAATGAAATTAAATAAAAACATTGCATTTTTTTTTTAAAAATAGAAAATACAGTGAAAAGCAGTATTGTGTAATATTATGATACAAATATATGATTCTTATTATATATTATATTAAAATACTCCATTTGAGGTTCAAATTTGTATATATCCATATTTGTAGTATAAAAAACAATTGATAAAGGCTAAAAGTTTAAGGTTTTTATTTGGCATTTGAATCTATGCTTTCACTCTTGTGAAAAAAAATAAAATAAAATTTTAATCATAAATAATTCCTAAATTTATCTTTTAATTTGGTGGGTATTTTTCATGTTCATTATTATTGTGTCAACTACATCAAAAGACGTGTAGCACTTCATTATGGCGAAAAAGGAACTTTTTAAATATTAATTAATGAGTTTAATGAGTTTATATTATTGATTAGGCGACCTAGTTTGGTAGCTGGATTTAAATTCATCAGAATGAGAACACGAAAGAAGGCTAGAATTGTGGATTCAATTCTTTGTATTATAATATGATATGTATCCTTCATTTTCTTATTTGAATATTCAAATTTTTTTCATATCAAGATATTTCAACTCCATCTTTTTTTCCTTGTCTTTACTTGTAAAATTAGACAATTTTGACATCAACGATAATTGGTCTACTTTTGTCAAAATAAAAATAAATAAATAAGGAAAGAAAAGAAAAGAAAAAGAAGAAAAGGAAGATCTTCTTTAAAATGGATAGAAAAGAAAAGAAGGTAAATTCCTAATAATGATTTAGCAATTTCATATTTTACTATGAAACTGAAAATGACAATTCAAATTTTGTTCGCTTTTGATTGATGTGACATGTTGATTTATTTTATAATTATCCCAAATTAAAAAGCTATCAAATTGTAAACTCTTTAATTTACATTAATAGGTTATTTTCCGATCAAGTCGATTTATTTCCCTTAAAGGTAACTACATATTTATTGCATCATACTTCACCAACTATGCTATTATTGTCGTAACTCTTCACAACCTTCTCATGAAAGACTTGGTCTCCTACCAACAATCTTTTTATAGGACACATCATCACTCTCATAGGGTTTTGTTACATGCTATAAACATGGTTGAGGTAATTGGAGCTCGATACTTTTTAATCGACATATAAGTATATTTCATCCACATGAATAATCTTAACTTCCAAAGATCCTATCCATATATCTATGATTGAGGGGATGATATTTTGTGTCCTAAGGTAGAGTATTATTTGTTAGGATATATGGACACTAAGTATTAAGTTTATCATCAACTATGACACGGGTATAACTAAAAGATATTAATACACCACTAAAAGTTTTTACGATAAGGAATAAATTGGAAAAGATAAACACATGTTAGAGAGTACAACGTCTATTTAACTTAATAATCTACGTGATTTACTTCTAATTTTTACTCCATCAATCAAAATATTGTAATTGATAATAAATTTAGGAAATCTTCTATACTTTTACTCAATAAAATCACCAAATCTAAGAGCATCTACGTCCCACTCTAATTCTAGGTTAAATCACCCCCTCAACCAAAATTGGTTAAACAGCTGCAGTTATATTCTTATCCTCAAGATCAAAGGGGTAATCACAATCATTAATAACGACAAAGACATGAATCCAACAGCAAAACCATTTTTTCTCTGCATTGGAAAATGGGACGTTAAAGAAGATGAGTCTCAGCCTTTGCTTGAAAATTACAAAACAGGGGGCTGTTGCAGAAACAAGGGGGAGTCCTAAATTTTATGTCCGACGAACGGCATTTGTGGTGGCTACTCACCCATTACTGGCGGCGCCGCCGTCCCCCGCCACCCCTCATCTCGGCAGTCCAAATAATGGCAAAACAACAACATGCTTGCTACTTGGTAATTGAAAAAGATAAAACATTGATTTTTTTGCCATTGGAATAGGCAAAGGTGACACCCATAAATTGTTATTAGGATCTTAAATGAGTCCATTTGCTGAATCTGACCTTCGTCCAAGAGTTCGGGCTTCTACGCGAAGAACGTGCTTTCTGACATCGAGGCAACATTTCATATGTTCATACATTCGACTCTCGATTTGATATTTTCATGGTGTTGCCTGCAACATTTACAAAATATCAATAAAATATTAACATAATATTAATATTAATACATTTTAAACTAATTTTATAAAGTAAAATAATTATTTGTTACTTTAAAGTTTAAATATTTGTTTGTGAATTTTTTATTTTAATAATTTTTTTAAACATATCCATTTACGTTGACATATTAACATATTATCAATATTTTTAGTCTGAAATTCACATTCAGGGAATATCAAAAGACTGAATTTCCACTTTAAGAATTTAATTTTGATGTTTTAAAAGTTGTAACATGTGTCCTTGTTAAATCTCTACCTAACCAAAACCTTGAGTACTGGATAGGTTGCACTAAATTGAATACTACTCCTATCAACTAAAAAACTTCAAGGCAAGTAAATTCCAAGTGTAAAGCTGGCTGGGATCTGTGGGCAGTCTTTAACCATCAAAGTTAGAATCTTTAGTTTTTGGTAAATGTTTGTCTGTAGAAAGAATATAAAGTCTACAACGGCATAGAAACAAACAAATTCATTCATGACAATTTCCAATAGTGAAGTTTTTTCTTTCTGTCGTTTGGTTAGCGTCAATCATGTGGAAATGGAAACGCAGTAGTTAAGGGAAGGGAATAATGAAGTTTCTTTAGCAAGTGTTTGCTCCAAATCCAATATATCTGACTAAAAGTTTAAAAGTTTTTTCTGTCTGATTGTCTTTTGGTATTCCATATTTCTAAAGTTAATACCCAACTTACCAATGTGCATGTCTACACCCAAAACCCCACTTCTCTCTTTTTCTCTTTTCCCAAAATTGCCACTTCATTTAAATAAATTCCCACCCCAAATAAAATAACATGATTCAATTGCTTAGAACAAGAGCCCAAAATAAAATTCTAGTTGTCCCATGTTGTTTACAATGAATATTACCTAAAAATAGATCATCTCTGTTAATGTATTGAAGAAACTGTGAAATCTACTGACAGTTACAATATATGATCATGAATAGATATATAGGAAGAAAAAAGAATAGTAAGGAACATAATTCGAGAGAGATAAGATGGGTCTGATTGGAATTAGACATAACAAAAAGGTTGAGAGACTGCAATAATTATCAAGCCAAATTGATAAAATTAAATGTTGCAGAACTAAATTATTGCTGACCCAACGACCTTATGGTCATACTTCATATATTTTCCACAAGTAAAGATCTTCTCTTCATCAAGGATAAAGAAAAAGTTTTGCAATAATGACAACTCAAATATCTCAAATTAAGTATTGCAGAACTATTTTATAGTTGACTGACTGAACGACTCAAGGGTGTAGACTTGATAAATTTTCCACAAATAATAAAAGATTTTTTCTTAATCAAGGATTTGGTTCTATTTTTCAATTACCAAACAAGAGAAAATTGGTTAAAGTAAAATGGTATAATCAACACTATCTAAACGGATGGGGACACCCCAAAACGGACTTATAGATTAAGCATGCACGATATTGACCTTGCAACCACAAACAAAGAGATAAGCAGCTCTGAGATCTATAGAGAGTGTTGTGGATAGAAGTTTTGATACTTACAATGCAATAGAAGTAGGTGACAGTATTTGGGCTTTGATTTGAATTTTGAAGCATCCATTGGTCTATGAGTCTCTCTGACAAAAAGGACAGACAAGGATCGTCAAAACTGAACAGATTAAACCATTCTAAATTTGAACGTTACCTTATTTACTACTTACACTTATTTTCCTATTCCTCCTGTATTTCAGTTGAGTGCCAAATTGGTCCTAAAACTTCGCCCAACAATCCCACTTCACCTGCTGACCCATTTTTTGTAGTCCTTTGCAACTCGCTAGCCATATCTGGAGGTGTGACCAGCTGATTGTTAGCCAATGTTTTAGTCTGGACAATTCACTTAGACCGTCGGATAGCTTCAGCTGCTTCTGGCGGTGGCTGAGGTACCCATGTCCGCCTGAGTGGGTGCTCAGGTACATGCCCTGGGATTCTGACGTTATGTTGCTGAATCATCACTATTCTTCTGATAGTTCATCCCATAATTCAGTAGCATGGAACAAAAATTTTCGCTCTGTATTTGTGATTCATGWGTAGAATTCGAGTTACTATGGACCAGCCTGACCTCCCAAGGGTACTGGAATTGTGGACAAAATAGAGATTAGTCTCATTTCGTCAAAATCGAGAAGTATAACTTATATTTGGTTTTACTATAAATAGGCAAAAACAACAGATCGCATACTTAAAATATGATGTTATGGGCCATCAATTCAGAAAATTCCGATGCAGGATGCAAAAGACATCCATACACTCCTTCCGGATCTCACATTTTTTCCGTTGGGGTTGGAGGGTTTTTCTTTAACCAGAAAAGAAAACCCTCTAGAAAGCAATCTGATTTGAGTTGGGTAGAGATCAATGATATCCTGCATAAGAAAATAGCATCGACCCACCAAAATCGTCTAAAAGCAAGTAGACGTCCCACACCTTACTCTATGGCATGACGGTTCCTCTCCTCTTTGCAAATCTGTGCCATAGTTTCTTTCACCGCCCTATCCACCATGTTAAAGCAGTGTAATAGTTAGAGTACTAAAATAAGCCCGTCCATACCATTTCAATTGCCATTTATTTGAAGAAAATCAAAGAATGTTCATCCACGTGCCATTTAATAACCGGTACTGCATCAATCATTCTGCAAGCCAGAACCTTGTGACTACTAATAAGCACAAAATTCATTTTACAGAAAACAATTTCTCGAAGCACACCATTCAAATCTGTGGTTTGCATATTTCTGAACTACCATAGAAAGCACACAAAAAAGAGATGCAATTAGTTTAGAGGTTTTATATATTTACATAAAGTTTCCCTTTTATTAAATGAGATAACCTTCGAGTAATTTTTTATCATTGGATGGTCAATTACCTCCATGTACGCATCAGGATAAGGCACATTTGAGGATTTCACTAACGCTTGAAGCAAGGAAGATTTCACTGCACATAAATATATGTCATGGAAGTTGGACCCCAGAAGAGAGAAATAATATACCTCTGAATCAAGATAAATATCAACCACCTACATCAAAGTCAATAGTCGATCTTGTGGTTTGCATATAGCTGCAGCAGAGCAGTCGAACTCAGCAAATAGTTCACAATAAAGTACATAAAAACCTAATAGCCTAAATGTTCAAATTTTTTTTCCAAGATCATAAGGAATGTTGAAGCCCATCAACTTTCATCCTACCTTTGGAATTGAAACGTCAACTTGATGATGTCCTTCAGCAACGGAAGCTCTTCTGGAGAAATTTGTTCGTGTTAAATCTCCTGATACTGTGAAACGAAGAGAGGACATGCAATGGTACTGTTCTATCAAAATAGCTGCGTTACCTTCCAAACTCAGTATGGCACTTGTTAGAGACTTCAATTCCTGTAGTTGCATATTTAACAAACCAAAAATTTCCTCCAATTTTCTCCTCTCTGGCAACGTACAAAATGTGGTCAGTCATAACAAACATAATTAATCTCCAATAGGTCCAATTTACAGAAAAGGGTTTGGGGTAGTAGTTCTTCTTTTTTTTTTTCTTTTTCTGAAAAGAGGGTAGGGGTAGGTTACAGATAATAGTTGACCAGTATTTGAAGAAAACAAGAAAAACCATCTATGTCTTACCTTCATATTTTGAGTTCAACATTTCCTGGCTTGCAAGCTACTTCAGCTGCCGCTTCCGCAGCTGCTTCTTCTACCAAACTTGGTCTGGAGCTCCCTCTCTTCACAAGCTCTTCATCTCCGTCCTTCACAACCTTCCGCATCCAGGATTTCAGTCTCCGAATAATTTTACGCCAAAGGCTGAAATACCTCATTCCTAGAAATAACATTAACAAGTTGACAGAAAGTAGAATGAAGAATTAAATGATGAAATATCGATCAATTTAGAAGCAAGATGAAAATGCAACAGATAATACAGAAGCAAGAGATGGCAGTAGATCACAAATGGTACCTTAATTCTAAAGCTTGTGCGTAAGTCAGTCCAGTGGACTTCGTTAATTAGGTATCCAACTGTGAGGCTGACGGAATATTAATCTTGTGTGATACTTGAAAACGAAGTAGGAAGCTGACGGAACTATCGTGAAACCTTAACTGCGATTACCATTTCTTTTCTTCAAGCGTACACGACAATGTCATTTTCTAAGAGTTACGCGCGTTTCTACCTAAAGTCCAAAGTAGTAATCCGGACCGATGCAAGTCTTGAAAAACAAACGCCAAGCAAAAAGGTAAATAGCTCGAAGAAATATACAATTTAAATGTAGAATACACATTAACCTAAAACTTCTCACCTACTGACAAAGAACAATTAGAAACAGAAAGTACTAATTAAATCAATGAACGATAGAACTTCGGTTCCTTCTGCAAATGATTTCGGAAGCCAGCAACGTCATTCAGAGCCTAAGACAATCATCAAGTTGATAAAAGAAGAACTCCGAAAGGAAAAAAGAAAGCACAGAGAATAAAAATAAGTACAATACTGAGACAATGCAAGAAATCTTTCAACCTAAATTCTGCGCATTCTCAGCCGCCGTCGAATGAGTTCCGGGTTGAGATGCCATGATAATAACCTTGCTTTCAAGAGAATCGCTACGGAAATCACTTGGCCGAAATGAACACACCAACGGTAATGGCAGAACAAGCAAAAAGGCTGTACAAGTGCGAGCATCGAGATTGGAAATTCTTCCGGTAGATGATGAATTACGAAAGCGAAGCCGATGAAGACGGTGATTCTCAGGGAAACAAAAACAGAGGCTGGTAATTGAATCACTTCTTGCCGCCAAAAATTTGGTGGGCCGCGGTCCATATTGTAAAGGCCCATAAATAATAACAAAAAAAACATACTTGAAAAAAGTTGACAGCTGTGGGATTTGAACCCACGCCCTTTCGGACCAGAGCCTAAATCTGGCGCCTTAGACCACTCGGSCAAACTGTCGGTTTGATTATTTTGTCTTAATTATATTATTTAATTATYATTTAACATAGAGAAATCTGAAACCGGAGGAATTTGGGAAGCACATGGATCTATTTGCATGATCGAAATAAAATAATTGTTCTCTTAAAACACATGACAAAATGGCACAAAAATTCACAACCTTGATTTAATACCTAAGACTTGATGCAAGATAAGAGGATACTTTTATATTTGGCAATTATACAAGATTCAGGATGATGAATTCCTAGGCTTGGGAGAAGCGGGCAATCGTTTAGTAATACAATTCGGTAAGCATTGTAAGACAGTATGATTAGATGATGGCTCATAGTGACAGAAAAATTCTGGATCTTCATTATAAGACTCCGTATAAGTTTCCAAAATTGAGACAATCTCGTCAAAATGCGGTCGCTTGTCTGGATTTTTCGACCAGCATCTCTTGATCAGGTGACGAAACGCCGGTGGGCACGCTGTTGGCAGCGGTGGTCTTGCATTCTGAAGAAACAAGCAGAAGCCAATGTAATCAACACACCAAGTAAAAAGAAATGTATAACGTCGACAACAAAACAGAACGCTATAAACGAAATCGTTATCGACAAAGCTGAAAAGGTATTGTACCTTCTGGCAGACTGCAAATGCTGCCTGTTCAGGAGTCATGTTATCAAATGGTGTCAATGCGGTTAATAGCTCCCACAAGACAATGCCAAAGCTATAAACATCAACTTTCTTGGTGTGATGTTTTTCTTTGATCATTTCAGGTGCCATCCAGCGGTATGTTCCCGTGAATCCCTTTGCGCTTCCGCACTGAGATTCTAAGCACGAGATGCCGAAATCTGCTACCTTCACACACATGTCTTCACCAAGCAAAAGGTTCTCAGATTTGAGATCTCTGTGGAGTATTCCCTGAGAATGAAGGTACTGCATCCCACGTGAGATGTCGAGGGCTAGTTTTAGAACCAAGTTCAGCGGAACAGAATGTGGCTCCTGCTGGTGAAGATATTTCCTCAATGATCCCCCCGCCATATACTCCATTATAATACAAAACACTGGAGGTTTTTTGCAAGCTGCAATAAACTGCAGGAAAAAAGGTCGAAACTAGGGCGGTCAGCAGTAGAAGAGATCATCTTGTCCATGTTTTTAAAGACTATCAAAACTTCAAAGCAACATAAATTCAAATCATGCAAAAGAGTGAAGAACTAATTCAAAGTTCTTACTCTAATAAGTTAGAAATGCAAGTCACAACCAACAAGCTAGATCAATCGACTATGAATAATAGTTCTATCAACAATGAGAATTACATGAAATAGAAGCCAGGAACAATAATTTTTAGTTCCCAGGTGGGGTCAAGTTCTAGTTAAAGCACTGCTTATAACCCCTTATAAGAAATGAATTAAGATCAACAGCTTATTTAGTTTCTTTAGCATCAATACGAGTACCCACTAGTACCCATTTTTTCAGAGATTTTTGCGTTACGCTGTGTTATGAAGGTGGAGGGGAGATTAAGGAAAGTAACTTAAGCTTCAATCTTAGATTGTGGGGAGGAACTGGGCAGCAACCCATGTTTTTACTTGGCTAGATTAGGGTTCATCCCCTACTTCTTAAAGGGGAAAAACACTTAATTAGATCTCAAAATCAAATCACATTAAATAAAGAGTAAGAATCTCCAAAGGGAAATCTGACATTATGCAGTAGAGGTTCCCCATGCAAAAAGAAGAGATTATCTTGATCATTTCCAGGGAATACAGAAGCCATTTTGTCTGCTCTTCCCGTGATAACAAGATGCTAAAAGCATCACATGCTGCCATAGGAAAGGCACTACAGAAATCAGTAAAATATTTTCAGAAACCCTTTTCAAGAGTGAGGTTGTTTAATTGGACAGAACAAAAAAAGGCATTATCATTATCCATTCTTCGCCATGGAAGATTCAGTGGTGCAGATAACAAAAAATAACACAGACCCACAAAAAATGGCATCAAGCAATGGAGCTTACAGTGATGATATTGGCGTGTTCCAGTCGAAACAGCAATGCCACTTCTGAAATAAACTGATTCTCAAGAAAGTTTGCCAAATTTTCGTCCTCCTCGGGCTGGCTTATAAGCTTGATCGCAACATCCCTCTGCTTATACACGCCTCTATAAATTCTGCTGTGTCTTCCCGTAGCAAATTTGAAGCCAATAAACAACTGCGACATATCCGCACTCCATTCCTCTTCTCCCTCTCCCTTAATCTCTGCTCCAGACGACACTAAGTATTTAGACCACGACACCGCCCGCTCGTACTCCCCAAGCGAAAGTCTCCTCCCAGGCTTCCCATTGATCGAAATTGGCTTGAACAAGTTCAAATTCCTCATGGGATGTGGCCAAATTTTAACAATATCATCAATCTCCCTCCCCCAGCCCTCCCCAACCCAATGTAGATTCCTAATCAACTCGCAATTTGAGTAAACCAATCGATGTCAGAACGAGATCTACAGCCAAAAAGAAACAGAAAACAGAACTTACCCGGTTTAATGTGTTCACTATTTTAGCTACATTTTCTTTTCGATTCTCATGCAAGAAAAACCCATCCCAGCCAAACAAAAACAAACACCCATCAAGCTCACATATCAAATAGAGACACAGAACACAGCGAAACTGGATTCAAATTAGACCCAGTAGAGGAAAAGAAGTGGGTGTTGTGGGAAAAAGGAAAAGGGTGGTTTGCAGCTTGTTCCAAGTCGAAAATCCAAATTGGAAGCCGAAACAGAAAGGGTAAAAGAAGAAGAAGAAGAAGAAGAAGAAGAAGAAGAAGAAGAAGATGGGGGAGTTTTATTTCAGTTGTGAGCTCTGTTTTGGGCGAGTAGAGAGAGATTTTGAGAGAGAGAGGGTCGGTTGAGATGTAGTTGTTGTTTCTGGTGGTGCAGTGAAAGCATATGGGGAAGAGCTGGCGGGTCTCTCTCTGTCTGTGTGTCTGTGTGTGCGTAAAGACTCATCTCCTTCCTCTTTCCTTTCCCTCCTCCCCCTTTGGCTCTGCCTTTGCCTTGCCTTTACATTCATAACGTGTAAAGATCCTCTCCTTGGGGGACAAAATGGGTCCTCCCTGATTATGACCCCTACCCTATCCTTTCCTTCCCTTCCCCTTTTTCTCCCCCACCTTCCTCTTTTTTTCCATCTTGCCACTCAATTATTTACTTCCCCTCCCCTCCTCACTACTCATGGTTTGTCACATCAGTATCGTATTTAAGATGACGTGGGATCCACCAACATTCAAAAGAAATAACGGTGTAAGTACTCTTTTTTCCTGCACCCTCTTCCCCCTCATCAATACCACCCAAGCGAAAAATGGGTCGTTTTACACCATTGAATATTTGCAAAATAAATTACAGTTAGATGTATTTTAAATAGTTATTCGAGAGAAGCATATATAGATCGGTCAAACCCACCTCTAAAACAGTGATATTTAATAACTTTCCTATGATAGCTACTAGATTGTAGGTTTGAATCAGCTTGTGTTACATAAGGATTTAAACCAATTAAAGCAATGTGTATTAAGGAGAGGAAAATGGGTAAAAGAAATGGGGAGGGGTAGAATGGGGAAAAGAGGGAAATGGTAGGGGTAAAAAAGAGAGGGAGAGTCAGTTAGGGGAAGTAACAGAAACGGAAGGGAGAGGGGAGTGGGGCCCACTTTACAGTGTGGTATCCGTGGGTTTGTCGGACAAGCCGTATGGTCCTCTTCCGTATACGGCCTTTCTCTCTCTTCCCCCTTGCGCGTGTTTCTCTCTCTAGATTTAGGACTATTACCATAATCGATGAAGCTGAGGCTAAGGGGTCAATGGTCATTATCATTATTATTATTATTATTTTGTCATATTTATTTATTATATGCTTTTTCTTTTTTATTTTCTTTTTTCTAATCACCACCTCAAAAAAGCTGCCCTGGACCGGACCCCGTCAACTTTTTGGGCGCGTGTCGTATATCTCCCGCATCTCATGCAACTTAAGTCAAGCCTTCTTCATTTTAAGGATAAAACTGTCATTCTGTCTTGCTTCTTTTCTTTTCATTTTGTCTGAAGTTTTTATGGTTTAAATACTATTTTAATATTTATATTTTTTACTTTTTATTTTAGTTATTTAGATGTTATTATACTCTTTAAATATTCGTTTTTATTTATATACTTTTAAAACTGACCATTTTAACTCTTAATTATAAAATTTTATATGCAATTAAATCAAATTTGTAGCTATATTTCACATAATTTTGTGAGCGGAGTACTATGATAAAATTATAATCGAAATAAATAAGATAAAATGAGAATAAATAAACTAAAATTGACACTTTTTAAAGGTACATGGATCAAACTGAACGTTTCAAAAGTAAATAGAATTTGAGATTACATGGGCTAAAATGAATCAAAACGAACTTAAATAGAGAGTCACAGGATGAAAATAGTATTTAAAAGTTTCTTTTTTATACAATTAATTTAGGGTTGGAGAAGGAGATGGAGAACTAACCTTTTTTTCCACCTAACTTTTTTTTGTTTGTTAAATAATAATGAATAATATTATTAATTGATAACTTGAAAGTTGAGGAAAATATTATCATAACTAACTTTGGTATAGTCCGTGTCCATACAAAAAGAAATGTAATTTTAATTGAAGGTCTACTTGATCATAGTTTATATAAAAAGTTATTTTATCATAATAAATGAGTAGTTTGGTTCGTTGGGCCACTTTCAAATTTAAAACCAAACATTCTGACAAGATTCTCAAGTTTAGATTCTTATCTCAATATTTGTTTACTGTTTAATATAATCTTTTATTTTTTAAAACATGTAGGTTAGTTAAATTTATTAAAACGAACTCTTTTTTCTTTTAGAATATAAAACGAGCTCCTTATATTGAAAAGGCAATACTCCTTTTTCCCCCTTTTTTATAATGCTATATTTTCATTTTAATTTTTGCAATTTGAGAAGGTTGCATTTTAATCTTACACATAAGATAAACCTCATTAATTATCATTATTATCACCAGCTATTGCAGTTATTGTACACTTTTAATTTTACGTGGCAATGAACTAATATTTTTTATTTGATTAACATGTTACTATTGAATGAAAAAAATGAGTGAATTTTCAAATTATTAAATGGTAATAATAATTTAGAGATGCTCGATCGAAACTTTTAAACTACGAACTTAGATGAATCAAATTAAAACTTTTGAAATATAAATACCAAACTAAAATTAGCCACTCWAAAATCTTCCAACGCTACGCTACAAGATAGAGTGGAAGAGTGAACCTATATGCTATGGGCAAATAAATACCCAACCATTTAAAGAGTTCATTTAATATTTGAAAACAATGAGGAAAAAAACATGAAAATGAAGGGATGTTAGGCTAAAAAAAGATTAAAATACTATTTTAATTTCTATATTTTTAGATTTTATTCATTTATGTCAACATGGTTTAAAAATATCTATTTTAATCCCTTTCAATTTTGTTTATTTTAATACTTATATTTTTAAAACGTTTGTTTTGGTCTACACATATTTTCAGAAAATGATCGTTTAGATCTCTTTATTTTAATTATTTATTTATCTATCACAGTTTAACCATCAACGCTACATTTAATATATTTCTTAAAATATTGTCATAACTTTATATTCAAAGAAATTCATTTGGTATATAATTTAGGGTAAAATTTTGTAAATAGAGATAAAAAAATTATTTCGAAATATTTTTGTGTCCTCCTAGTCCTAAGGTCCATAAAGTTCACATCACATGACCTGAAAGTGGGGCCGGCGGTGGGTCCGACGCTCGCGTAGAAAGAAACTGTGGAAAAAAAGGTTGTCCGTACGTTACAGTAGCAGCAGCAGCAGAATCTTTTTCTTTTATTTTCTTTTACCCTCTAATAATTAATTAATTAAAACTAATTTCCTTAATTACTCAATATTCAATTATTAATCATGATCAACCACCACGCGCAGGCGCACAGCTTCCGCTGACGTGGACATAGGAACTCGGAATTCCATCCCAAAAAAATAAACATTATTATTTTATAGAAAAGAAAAAATCCACATATTGAGTTGTAATTAAGATTTGTTTTTCATTTTTAAATTTTTAATTTGTAGATATGATTCCTCCTTCAGAATTGGCTCGTTTATTTAAGACATCTAAAATCAGGGATTAGATTGACATCCAAAGTTGGCCACATAAAAATAATATATAATAAGGTTGAGGGGATCTCAATAATTTTAAGGTTCAATCATTATCTTTTTGCACTTAAATTAAATTATTAATTATTTTTTCCCACTCCTTGTTGCGGGCCCTACTCCAGCCCATATTATCAACCAATAATATCTTTTTTCTTTTACAAAAATATATAACCAATCTTCATCATCTGATTTTCTTCATTTATTTAGCTCCAAGTAGTTCAATTTGGAGCATATGATGGAATAAGTTAAAAAACAATAAAGCCCAATGCACATGCATACATCAAGAGTTATAATGACAAATTTTATTTCACCGTTCAAATCTCTACTCTTAAAGTTCTTCCGACGGTCAATTTGATATGATCCAATGACAAGTAAACTGATGTGAAAGTGCGTTTTGCTATGGAGTTACATTTCTTACACACATGAAAAGGGAAAATTTTGTAAAGAAGAGGACAAAAGGATGGGTTGGAAATGGAAAGGGAGGATCTGATGGGGAATATTTGTCAAGTAGTGAGGAATCTGTAGGATCCACGAGTGAAGAACATGGCTAATGGAGGAAACCCACGTGAACTCTTCTTTCCTCCCATCACTGCAAACGTTGAAGCTCACTCTCACATTCACAAGCTTTTAATATAGCCATCTTTGGAAACTTAACAAACAGTTGACTAATTGGCCAGTCCTTGTCTCCTCTTGTGTTTTTTTACACACACAACTATACAAGTCAGATCTTTTCTGTTCTATCAGTGCTGAAGTTTGGGGATTATTTTAGGGGAGAAAGCTTGGTGCTTTCTTAGGAATAATCGGCATTTTGGTTAAGTTGGAGTGACAAGAAAGATGGGGTTTGACAGACGGGAGGGCGTTCTGTACACGATCAATGTCGAGAGGCAGATGGCATCAGTGAGCTCTTATTCTCCACTGTATCATGGGCCTATGGCAGTGTCGGTATCGAGGCTTGTGTGTTTACTGTATGAGCTGCAGGGACTGGACTGGATGTCGATAGACTTGAAGGTTGCCTTGTTATGTAACCATTGGTGGGTGTTTGGTCTGTGTCCGAACGCAGGTCAGAAAGAGCGCTGAGATCAAGATTTGGGAAGACTGAGGAGCGGCACCGAGGACATTTGACATTAAGACGAAGCCACTCATCGATACATTCGACGTGGAAGTTGTGAGCACACGGCATACCGCGAACCTGCACAAAAGTTCAACACCAAAATCAAATGGATATGTCTGCATTCATTCTATAACTCTTGATGTTTAAAAAAGTGAATAATGACTAAATCCCAGAACAGAGTAGCCATCGCCATAGAAAGTGTTCATCCTGCATCTAAATTATTCGATCTATATTTGAACAGAATGAATAAGATTGTATCATAGAAGTTCGAAGTAAAAAAAGGCAAACTGGTAACGTTTAAGATGAATGATGACAACAATTTACCTCATTACCGACATGGAATTCTTCGAGGCAAATCGGGCATTCACTGCAATCAGTTGGGACTGCCTTTAGCCTGAACTTTGGAAGTTCCTGGATAAGAGCTTCCACAGCTTCCCTCTGCACAAATTCCCAACAAACCCGCTTAGAACAACTTCACATTGACGATTATAGATTTCGGTAGACATTCATAAGGTAAATGCAGTTCCATCCAGATTTCCTCCCACTTCACTCTCCAATTTTCAGTACGTAACACATTACAGGATCCATTAAACATATTGTTTGCGAAATGGCGACTATAGAAGTTGATTGGGAAGCAGCATTACTCAAATGAATGTTATTTAGTTTCCATATGCATTGATCTAAACTTCACACGTACTTACCTGAGCCGAGGTTAAGAAAAGCCCGGGATGGTACCCAGTAGAATCTTGGTCAAAGCCTCGTGTTTCCAGTCCTGCAACTTCAAATGCCCAATCAGGAACCCTAATCATGTCAACCAATACCTGGTTTGCAGAAAATGCTAATCAGTTCAATGTTTGATAGTTATAAAATGATACTAATCGCTAAAATGACATATGAACCCAAGAACAAAGAAGTTTTACATTATCTTTTAACCAGAAATAAAGTTTATGACAAAGCCAAAAAGAAAGGAGAACACAAACAAAAAAAGATGGTATTAGGAGTTTTCGAGCTTACCCCGTATTCTGATACGGGTATGCCTTGTTGGGCACGTAACATGTGCGCTTGCCTACGCACTAACCACTGCAAAAAAGACGATATTAGGAGCAATCGGAAAAACATGAAATAAGAAAATTTTGAAGCAACCAAGTTTGCGAGGATAGCTCTGCCACATTACATGGCATATGCCTCAATTAATAGTCTAAACTTGCTAAAAATTTAGTCGACTAACAAACAAGGGAAATATAGGTAAGAGAATGGAGAAGTACACAGAAAATGGATAACCTTTCCCACTGAAGTGCAAGCAATGCAAAGCAGAGCACAGTAGCTAAAAAGCAACCAAATGAGAAAACCCCATTTTTGACCTTCTTCTGGCAACTGCATGCATCAACAATAGATGAACTAAATAATCGAGGTCTGTAAACAGMTGATTTGGCCAATGTCAACTGAGGAGATTTTTGGCTTACACAGTCTTTAGCATCTTTAAACCACAAGGTTCCAATAACAGTCCACACACATAAAACCGGGTAGAGCAATAGAGAAAGAATAGAAAGAACCACAACTCTGCCACAAAACCGAGCATACTGCTGCTGCCATCCAAAATCCCTAATGAAATTTAAATTCAACAGTAAGAAAGAAGAATAAGGCACTCACACCACTTATGAATCAGAAATATACCATAAGCAGAGTCATTTAGGTGCCTCTAATGATTTCATTGAAAAAAAAAATCCATAAGTGATATGTGAGTATATGGAAATAACCTTGTTAATAGTTTTTGAGTAAGATTTGAAGTAATGAACTGGTTGTATATTTGGTCCTAATTGAACTCATTCAACGGAAACTCATCTTCAAAAACAATTCAGAGGTAGAAAAAATCTTAGAGAGAGAAAGAAGGCCATACAATCCCATTCCAGTAGCAAGTGCATTATCTATGAACAGCAAAAGGCGAAAAGCAAACACAGAGGTATAATCAACCTGAATGAAGAAAGTAAAATACATAGCCATCAGAAGCAAGCAATCATAAATTATAAATATATCTTAAACTTGTATCGCTTCTTTAGAACTCGGATGCGTACCACGATCCATATGTGCAACGGGTATGTACACGTATTGTATCGCTTCCAATTGATGGTCACAATTATTCTACAAAGTAAAACAGTTAAAGAAAAGATAAAATGAAATTCTCACAAGGGGCCAAAAGTGCTATTGCTAGTCTTCAGATAGTCAAAATGTCAATGAAACTTCTACCCCATACTATAATCATTCGAGTGCTAAGAAAGTTCATGTAAAAACACAACAGGGTTAATGAAAAGCAAGAAAGATGTGACATAATCAAGGCTGCGGTTTTGACGAATGCTGTCCAAAGAATAATCATACATCTAATGATTACGAGATTATTGTCACATAATAATATTTTGTTTTGGCTGGCTACAACTGCATAAAGATGACATATGAAATTCGATTACAGTTTATAACAATGTCAAGACAAGCCTAAATAAGAACAGCCGCCACTAATATGGCAAAGGATACATGCTAGTAGCAAGCATCGACAAGAAGAACCCATCGTACCTGAAAAACCCCAAAATTCCAAACCATGTCAAAAACCCACCAATATGGCTGAATTTACATTCCAATAGAACGATGAGAAAGAGGAATACCATTTGAAATCGACCCCTCGAATAGCCATGGCGGAAACCAAAAGAAGAAAACTCGAAAAATTACTTGGGACTGCCAAAGATGGCTAAAGGGCCGCCATGCGAGGGCAGGAAAACGATTGAACCACGAGGGAAAGGGAAATCAAAGACGAACTCGAATTTTGCGCCCCAAATTCTTTCTGGGGTCGAATCATCGATAAGCAGAGAAAAGGAGAGGGAAGATTATGGAGTGGAGATTGAAGAGGGAAGCAATGGATCCCGTTCCACCATAGGGTTGGGCAGTTAACTGAGTTTTCTGCAGCTTTGCTTGTACAACTGTAAAGCGTAATGACTGCCATTTCAGAGCATAATTGTAACCACAACCCTGCARATTCAAATCTCTATCCCTCCTGTTAAGTATTAAAGTATGCAACCCCCTTTCTCTTTTAATTCTTTTCCCTTGTCTTGTAAGAAGAAAGTAAATTCTAAATTCAAATTAATCCACCTTTTCCACTCGCCGTTTTGTTTAGCTAGATAATTAAGATGAGAAATGACAAATTTAAGTTAGTTTAAGAGCCAGAATCAATTCCCAAAACTTGAAATCGTGATTACCAAAAGTAAGTAGAAAATTGAGAGAAGAGGATGGAAGATTTACAGGGAAGATTTATCAGCAACAGGCTCCGAGTTGGTGTGGGGTCGCAGAGAAATGCAGCAGATGCAACTTGCTTTCATCAATGGATTATAGAAACCATGGAAAGTGACCTTACTCCAAGCCCAACAAAAAAGCCCCTCCAAAATGTTTTCTTTTTCCCAACCTCTCTTCACTTTTAACATGCACATAATTTAACACTGTCCACATTTTGTTTCGTTTCCCAAAAAGAAATCACAAGAAAAGAACACACATGAGTTGATGATAATAACCAGTTAAGAGAGATAATAATTGCTTACATAATTATAGTTTGCAAAATCGATGAATCGCTTTTGTGATTTAGATTTGATTCGTTTTTTACAAAACTTGATTAAAAACTGATAAACTTTAGGAAAGCAAAAGACCCATGAAAATAAATCATAGTAGTCACCATATAGTAGAGATTGGAGAAAGTTTGATGAAATGATTAATTAGAGCATGTAGCAATGATTGATTATGAAAAGGAAGAAGAAAAGAAAATAATAATAATAATAATAATAATAATATGATGCCTGCAACTTAGCTTTCAAAATCAATTAAGGAAGTGGTCCAGCAGCAACTATGGTGGTTCAGCAAAAGGGGGTAATGAATGCTTGTTATGTAGAGGACAGTAAGAGATTTTGCAGAACCAAAAATAATTGACAGTGATGTAACAGCAAAAAAGGAATGATTTTTAAGATTAAAAACTTTAATGTCTTAAAAACTCTTTCTCCACCATCAACCACTTGTCAAATTAATCAGCCAACCAAAATTCTAACCTCTTTTTTTTTTGTAAAATCTTTGAACTGTTTGCTGTAAGTCTAAAACTGAGATGAATTCAACTTTCTGAAGAAGGACTAAATAATTTTATGTAGAAAATACGGATTGGATAATTTTCTGTCTTCTCATTTTTTGTTTTATATTTCATGTTCTTACTTTTCTTTAGAAAGCATCAGTTTCTATTTCTTAAAAAGTAAGAGAAATTTATGACTTTACTAGTTTCAATTCTATGTTGGAACACTTAGATACAGCAGCCACAAAATTGAGCCAAGATAAATGACAATGAACAATTGTGCATCAAAATCAGAGGATCGGTGATAATTTATTAGCCTTCTGATGGTAATATCTACAAGAATGATATGATCATCAGCTACAATTAGGAGGGTTTAAACATTTATATACAGCTGAAGCTGGTTGCTTATAGGAAGGGATGCTACTTGTGTCGATGAAGCGAACTTCCCCGGGAGCAAAGGAAAGATCATGGTGCCTGAATTCAAGACAAAAAGGTTAAGTTTGTCGATCATTCAGATCACAGATTAAGAAAAAAATGATTACGCTACAAGAAAAGCTTTGGATATGCAGCTGGCTACCTTCSCAAGTCAAGACCGATTAAACCAGCTTGAAGAATTGTCAAATTATCGGAATCTGGTGAGACAATGATGACAGTATCACCAGAGTATTGGGTTTCGAGAATCGACATCAGTTGCGTTACACGAACGAAGACATCAGACACGCTCTCATTTGGGGTTCCATCATCAATGGGAGGAGGTTTGATGCTTGAAGAGATGGTATCTGAAGCATATACCTGTTGTTTTCAAACACATTTTGTAAGGACATTGAAACAACCCATTGTCTTTGAACAGAAATTCCAAACAAATCATTAAATAGTTTTTCTCATTTCTTGTTCATTCTTTCCTAGTCATTCACTTCAAGAAGGTTGATTACAAGAAAAAGGAAAACTTTCTAAATCGAGATCATATCAAATGTTAACTCTAACAAAAGATTGAAAGAAAGAAAGAAACTATACTTCTGAAACTGATTCCAATCTCTTGCCTTCATAAGCTCCGAGCCCACGGGCGTCGAGAAAACTGTATTCAGGAACTATATAACTGAAACCAACAATAGTGATTGACTGGTAAGCCAAAGATTTTTCATCCAATAGAAGATAAAAATAGCAGAAACAACGAAAGAAGAGGAATGAAACCTATACTTTCCTAGACCACACATTTGCTTCCTAAATCATTGAAACCATAAATTTTTATCCGTATCAATGGAATGGCTAAACTAGCTATTTGTTTCAGACCAGTCCTTTAATTCAGTAGAGCATAATAGAGGAAAATTGGCAGAGACAATTTTCAGACTCCTAATACAAGATCTGATTCCATGGTGGCATGAACTCAAGTGGATCAGTTTGCCCAATACTAATTCACATACCTTCGATTCACACCATTTACTGATGCAATAATCTCTGCTGCCTGATAAGCTCTCTGCGTAATAGAGGGCCATATCCAGCAACCATTTTCACAGGCCCCCAATTCCTTCAATTCAAAGGCCGCTTTAACAGTTTGCCTCTTCCCTTTCTCAGACAATCCGCTATCAACAGATGTCTTAGCAACTGGGTTTGTGTTAATTATTCCAAAACTGTCGAATTCAGACTCCCCCGCCCTCACCAAAAAGTACCTTCTCAAGCCATCACAAAAGGTTCAGAAATTAGGGCAGCTATTACAATTAGCTTTAAAATAAAAGGTTTCGCGGTGTAATAAGTAATCATTAGGGTTTCTTCAATCCCCTTTTTCCAATTTGCCAATAGAATTAATAATTCAGAGGAAGATGCGAAAGAATTCAAACCCCTTTATCATCCTCCCAGATGCCAACAATAGAACAGAAACTGAGCTAAAAAAAAAAGATGAAACGAAACTGAATTTCAGTTAAATCACCTGTTGACGAGACGAGCAGGCGGCATCTGGAACAGACCCCGAGCTTCAGCAACAAAATCAGGAGAAATGGGCAAAGTAAAACCGGCAAAAGAGGGGGTAAAGATCGAAATCAGAGTGGTAATCAGGTGGCGGCGGCTGAAAAGAGTCTGAAAGTTCGCGGAAGACGGCTTCCATGGAGGTCGAATCAAGGGTGGAGCGGGTGGGGAGGACCACGCGTACATTTTAGCAGACGGCGGCGTGTTGGCGAAAAATGGTGAATCGAAATTTTCAGTGCTGTCTCAACCTTATCTTCCATTTTCGCACCGTGTTCGCAAATTTCCGCCATCGATTCTCGCCGAGCTCTGATCGGTGGGTCTAGGTCTAGTTATCAAGAAAATGGAGTATTTTCATTTGTTATTTTATTCAATTTGTCAATTTTTTTTTTTATTCGGAAGTAAAAGTAAGTAGTACTGTATTTTTTTAAATTAAAATCCGTCTAATTTTCTTGAGGTTAAAAAACAGTTTGTTGATTTTCTGTTTGTGCTTGAAGGGAGTGATACTTTGTTTCTACTATTTAATCTGACTCATTGCTTGGGTTCATGAAATTGGATATTCTTGATATTGTATGTGATTTAATTAATTTGTCAATGTTTTCTTTTCTCCACTCTATGCAAGTTATCAAAGCAGCTCCACAACCACTCTTCCGTCGTCGATACCATTTCCCAACTCCAATCGTCCCTCAACTGCCCCATTGGCGGCGGAGGCATCGACGACGACTAACCCGAACCCAAATCGACACCGGTACTCCGGGAGTCATTCTTCTTGGCGTTCTTTTTCCCCTTCCTCTTCCTAATATTTTGGAAAATCGATGGATTTTGGTGTCGCCAATTTCCTCAACCCACTCAATCTTGAGAACCCGTGGTTCTTCACATCCTTAAGATTGGGAAAATTCAGTCGTTCGTATCCCCTAAAGCTTATAGATGGTGCAATCGTGGCAGCCGAGCGGTGAAGCACGAACAAAACATTATGGGAGGTTCATTTTTCTTTAAGATTTGCAAATGTCATTTTACAAAATAAATCGTACCTGTTACCACACTTCATATTTTTGTTAAGACTGACAGAATTTTAACAGTAGAAATCAAATTATTACCAATTAAACTCGGGGACTAAACTCTTAGAAAGTATAGGATCAAATATATATTTTTTTGACCTTTTTTAAATATATTTTAGGCTAAATATTTGTTTTTAATTTAATTTCTTGTATATACAATTTTTTTTAAATTTAGACTCCCACGTGTTAAAATTAAAATTGACTAATGATAAATTTACACGACATAATATTTAGGAAATTGATGAAAATTTAGAGGACAAAAAATTCGAAAATCCTATCATTTTCATAAATCTTTTTAGGAGTAATTAAAAAATTTCCTCCTCTTATGATAATTTTCTTCCTCTAAATTTTCATCCATTCACTAAATATAATGTCATGTAAATTTTAACATTTATCAACTATGATGGACTATATATTGAGCAATTCAAAACTATTAAGAAGTATGACTTAAGAACAAAAAGTACCTAAATTTATATTTTAGTCGTTGAGTAGTACTTTAGATGACTTTTCAATTTAGTACTCGTTCTTTTTGTCAAAAAAAGAGAAAAGAAAAAAAAATTACTGGTTAATTAAAAAGTTTCAACTTTAATCTTTTTTTTTCTTTTGGTAAAAAAGGGGAAATTTTTTTTAAATAATGTTTTTTTAAAAAACAAATGACACAAATGACACAAATAATATAGGTTTGAAAGTATTTTAAAAAATAGAGTAGATTTCAGGTAAATCGCATTTAATGACTGCCATTTTAGGGAAAATAGCAATTTGCACGCCAAAACCGCTGACTGCGATTTTGTGAAAGTCGCAGTCATTGGCCGCGACTTCGGTGTGACATGGCTTTAAGGATGCCACATGAATGGTGATCGCATACATTTGCTGCAAGTTTTATATGCTATATATATAATATTTCGTCAATTGGTAAAATGATAAGAATTGTTCAGTCGTGGTCATAATGTTCATTTTTAACCCTCCCATCACAGGTTCGATTCCCTACTCCAGCATTTTCACCCTTATTTCTTTTCAATCTCTCCTTTTTTTTTTCTTTCANAAATAATGTTTTTTAAAAAACAAATGACACAAATAATGTAGGTTTGAAAGTATTTTCAAAAGTAGGGTAGGCTGCGATTTCAAGTAAATCGCATTTAATGACTGCAATTTAGGGACAATAGCAGTTTGTAAGCCAAAATTGCAACCAATGACTGCGATTTTGTGAAAGTCGCAGTCATTGGCCCCGACTTTGATCTGACATGGCTTTAAGGATGCCACGTGTTGGGAGGAAATGGATGGAAATCGCATGCGAGTTCTATATGCTATATATATAGTATTTCGTCAATTGGTTACATGATAAAAATTGTTCAACAGTGGTCATTATATTCATTTTTAACCCTCTCATCACAGGTTCGATTCCCTACTCCAACGTTTTCACATTTATTTCTTTTCAATCTCTCCTTTTTTTTCTTTCAATTTCTCTTATAACCTTTTCTATTTGGTTTTCTCTTTTTAACTCTTGGTTTTCTCTTTTTAACTCTTGGTTTAACCTTTTTTTTTTCAATTTCTCTTTTAACGTTTTTATTTATTTATTTCATCTCTTTTTACTTTCTTTTAACTTTTTTTTTTCTTTCAATTTCTCTTTTAATCTTTTCTATTTCATTTTCTCTTTTAACTCTTTTTTTTTCCAGTTTGTACTCCTGCTCCAGCATTTTTGATATTTTTCTATTCCAATTTTTCTTTTAACTTTTTTTATTTAATTTCATTTTCACTATTAACTTCTTTTCATTTAAATTTTTACACTACCAATGTTTTTTAACTTTTTTTCCTTCAATTTCTCTTTTAATCTTTTTTTTAATCTAATGTTCTCTTTTTACTTTTTTGTAACTTTTTTTTATTTCATTTTCTCTTTTAACTTCTTTTTATTTTTAATTGTACGTTATCTACATGTGATTCTTTTTATATAAATTATTGTAATGTTTAATATGATCTAAGATTTATTGAAAAAATATGTTCCAGACGAATGTATACTTTTACTTATAATAAAATAAATTATATTTTATAGGTAAAATAAATAAAAACTATATAGAAAAAAGAAAATAAATACTAAAAAAATAGAATATTTTATTAGTAAAATAAATAAATAAATAACTACATAAATAAATATATAAATATTTTAAATGAAAATCGCGTACATTGTACGCGACTTTCCATAAATAGAAATTGCGTACAATGTATGCGACTTCTATAAATGGAAAGTCGCGTAAAAGTAGGCGATTTCCTTGCTGACTCATTCTTCGAGGTCCACTGATGTCATGTTGTCACCTAAATCGCATTCATTGTATGCGTATTTTGACTTTGACTATCACCTAACCTATTTTTGTCAATAGTTTGAATATATAACTTAATTTTGTAATTTTTTATTTATACTACATTTATTTTGTTATTACTTCTAAATCTACATTATTTTTGTAATTTATTTTTTAAATTACATTATTCTTAAACTTTCTCCCAAWAAGGGCGGTGGAAAATAGTTATCGAAAATAGTACTTTAGATGACTTTAATTCGTTGATGTATTGACAATTATGAATTACAGATGGAATAAAGTAATGCACACGCCAAAATTTCCAATAGCCAATACTAATAGGCGTCAAAATTCAAGTACAAAAGCAGTAATTCCTTTGGTTTCCACATTTTCCTGTTTGAATTGCTGGCAATAACAAGACAATGTGAAACAGAGGATATACCTTTGAAAAAGGAAAAAAAAAACTTCCATTTGATTCCAATTTCCATAATTGATTATTGCTGTTCTGACTTTATTAATACATTAATTAATTTCAAAAGTAAGCAATTATCTTTATCCTCCAATGCAAATAAAGTCTAATTCCAACTTTAAAAGTTGCCCGTTCTACCGTTTAAAACATCCCTGGAAACTTACTTATTCACGTCGTAAATTATAACCTAAGTTGATTTGAATATTAAATTGTAGATGGACGAATATGAATGATCGTGGTGCTATCGGAAGATTAAAATAAAAGAAGGAGGAGAGAAGTGATGAAGGAAGAGGATGAGAAAAAAATATGTCACTTACGAAAAAAGATAAATAAAGAATAGTGAAATTTATAGACTCGTTTATAAAACACACATCATAGTCTAGTCAACATACGTTAGCTACTACATCACCATTTTATTAGGTCAACTCAACTCAATGACCAATGAGAAACCAAATTTAACCATCTCCTAAACTACTAAAACCTAAATTCGAATTTCAGGGATCAAATATATCACTTTTAAAACTTCTAGGACTGAATTCAAACCGAATTTAARTTTCAGGACCAAAAGTTAACATTTTTCTTAACTCAAAGATTAAATAGAAATTAACTTCAAATCTCAAGAACTAAAAAGTATGTTTTACCTTTTTAACTGTGGATGGCATTTCAATAGGATGGAAGAGACTCATTTACCAAGTGAAGGTAATGCCTAATTTACTCTCGAATATTTGAACAATTTGCCATCTATGTCACTGCACGAAAACTGGTATACCAGAGGTGCGTCCTTCCCGATCCTCTCGTACTAGGGAAAGGTCTTCTCAATGCTCTAACGCCAACACCGGATATGGACCAAGCTGTCCAATATTTGAACAATTTCTCACATCCCGTACATTTTTCATCCGAAAATTCATGAGATCAACGTTGTAAAAAGGATTGGAATCAGATAGGGTAAGACACAGCTAAAATGGATTTGAGAAGAAGGAGAGAAGAAAGAAGAAGAAAATGATATATTGATTTTACGTGGAAAACTCCTAAACGAATTAGGGTAAAAACCAAAGGCAAGGAAGAATAATTCCTACAAACTTTCTTTCTTACGAAGAACAAAATCTCTCGTACGAAGAAACTCTCTCTATCTTTATCTCACTAAGCCTCATACTCACTTGAAATTGTAAATTTTTGGGATGGGTTGTCAAGTATGGGTGCCCACCTATCCATAGCCCAACCATACTTGGTCATCAAACAAATTTCTATGGCTACAAAATATGTCACAGATTAGCCGTGGATAATACGATGATCTAGTAGCCATAGATTTGCCATATATTCCACTCTTGTAGCTTCTAGGTGCTTCAACTCTCCAAAGAAAAGCTTCTTTAGCAAGCTTGAGAAATCTCTTAGCCTAATGACTTCTAGGAACTTCCATCTCGAGAGAGGCTTCTTGAGTAAGTTTCGAAAATATTATCTAACAATCCGCACAAAAATTTCCTAAAAAGAAAAAAAGAAAGGGTTGGCTGAAAGGTGCTTGTTATTCAATTCCAAGAAAATTTCTCTCTTCCATCACGTGAAAACGAAATAAAATAGAAAAGATATTGAAAAATGTTATTTAGAAAGAGGATCTTGCAAGTGGAAATGGGAAT